GGGGCGGAGGCTAGGCCCACGCTCAGGCTACGTGAGCTGATTCCAGGCTACGGTCGCCAGGACCGGGTCAGGCCCACCTCGGGCCCTGAGTGTTGGGTCACTGGTTCCCGGACGCAGCCGCCTGGCCCTCGAGCGACACGCAGACGCCCCCTCCGGGTCGTGGAGAGCCGCCAGCCTCAGGGCCCCGGGAGGGTCCACTGCGGCCGCCGGAGCCAGGCGTGCAGAGGACCCCGCAGAGCCTCCTCCCCATCCGGCGGCTGCGCTCCTACCCGCAGCCAGGCGCCCCCGCGGCCTTCTCGCCCAGCCTGGGCCTGTGTGGCGCCGGGCACTGGCGCTCAGGAGGGGTGGCTGGCTGGAGGTGCCCCGCTCACCGTTCCCGGAACCCGCACTCTACCAGACTAGCGGGGCTCAGTTTCCACTTTCTGGTAACACTAGTGCCAAATTAGTACCAGAATCGGCTTGCGTCGCCAGTCTGTCTTTAGTGGACTTAAGCCCCGTAGTATAATTGAGATCACCTAAAAAAATTGTGCAAAGCCGGGTGTCGGTGGCTACGCCTGTCATCCCAGCTTTTGAGGAGGATCTGAGAATCATGGTTCAAAGCCAGCCAGGGCCGGAAACTCTGTGAGACTCTTATCTACAATAAACCACCAGAAAACCAGAAGTGGCTCTGTGGCTCAAGTGGTAGAGCGCTCGCCTTGACCAGCCTTGAGCTGAAGAGCTGAGGGGCAGGCCCAGGCCCAGAGTTCAAGCCCCACAACTGACAAAAAAAAAAAAGGAAAGCACCTGAAGCTCCAGATGTTTTTTAAGATAGCATAGTTAGCATAGTTGGCTGCTTAGCCACTTAGCCCGCACATGCTAGCCAATAAGATTGTTACAAGACTTACTAAATGCTAACCAATCACGTAACTGACAAGCTAGGAACCCCTAACCTCAACCCTATGTCCTATAAAAACCCTGCTAAAAGAAAGGTCGGGGCTTTCAACTCTGACCCGCTGTGTTGGTGACGGTGGTAAGTCCAGCTCCAGCCTTCTTGCATCGGAATCGGCTCCTTGGTGGTCTTTGGGGATCCTCATCTGGGCACAAGACTTTTGCTCAAGGTGAGTGCTCTACCACTTGAGCCACAGCACCACTTCTGGCTTTTTCAGTGTGTGATATTGAGGAATTGAACCGTGGGCTTCCTGCTTGCTAGGCAAGCATTCTACCATGAAGCCACCTTCCCAGGCCTTGATAATTTTTTCTTCCTTTTTGAGTTAGCTGTTTTGCTCTGTATGCACCCCAGACTGCCCTGAGGCCTTTACACTCCTGAGCCTCCTAGTTCTCCGATTATAGCTGCGGCCACCGCGTCAGGCCCAAGCGGCCTTAGACCCTGGTTTATTGGAACATCAGTATGTGTGACTGTGTGATGTGAGGTACAACTCACATCCGGTCGGGCCGACCACCACAGATCCTGAGTGGCAGGGTTAAGTTCTGTCGAAAATGATCAGGAGGGCTGGGAAGGTGGCTCAGTGGTAGAGCGCTTGCCTAGCTTGCATGAAGCCCTGGGTTCGATTCTTCAGTGCCACATACACGGAGTTGGAGCTGTGGCTCAAGTGCTAGAGTGCTAGCCTTGAGCACAGGGGCTCAGTGACAGTGCCCAGGCCCTGAGTTCAAGCCCAGGACCGGAAAAAAGAAAGATCAGGAACTCAGATCTCTGGCGCTGTTTCCCCCAGGCTGACTATAGATCGTAAAGTCCTCCCTGATTCCTAGAGCAGCCCCGGAAGTACGAGCAAAGCCACGGGGAGCGGTGGAGTTGGGCTGCAGCTGTTTCCGGCCTTCGTCAGGGTCTGACTGCGCAAGTGCTGACCCAGGCCCGCCCTCTTCCTCTGGCCCCGCCCCTGGCGGGTCGCCGGCCGGGCGCGCCTGCGGGTCCTATTGGGAGGGCGGGACTAAGGTGAATTCCCAGCGGCGGCGCCGCCAGCAGGCGGGCGGGGCGGCCGGGACGGGGACCGAGGGGAGGGCCTCAACCCGGTGGGAGTGGCGCGCAGGTCCGACGGC